CTGTGCCCAGCTGGCTGCTGGCAGGCCAGGCTAAAAACAAGATCCCAACAGAAGACTTCTTTATTGTTGTGACCTTGGATCAACCCCGATGACATCACTTTTCTCATTTCTAGCACTTGCTGTCCTCTGACTGTGTCAAAAATAAATAAATAAAATTAAAAAATGTAAATACAAATTCAGTGCCCACTAGCAATTGTGATATGACTGAATTTAAACAAACAAAATGAACAAAAAACCTCCTAAACTAAATATAAAACAAACCATTGCCATCCCGCCAGATCATCTCATAATTTGAAGTCTGACTTTAACCTCCTAAGACCCGAACTCTTCCACAGCATGCATTTTTAATTTATCTTTGATATTTGGGCATATTGGGGCCTGATGAATGTAAAAACAAAGAATTACCAGATTTCTTTACCTTATTTTTGTTTTTAAGAAAAATAAGAGCCACATATGAGGATATTTGTTTGACAGAACAGTAGCAATATAATGTCCTCGTAAGTGGATATCAGGCCGTTGTAGAGCAACATTGAGTATTTTGGTCTAAATAACCCAAAATGTGATGTCCACATATGTGGACGGCAGGTCCTAGGAGGTTAAATATTTCATATTTAGCCAATATTTAGTTTCCAATAGCTTACACCTTGTAATTTAGAATAGTAAGCCATTTGTACCAGGTTAACAGTTTTTCCTGAGTTACTTGACATTTTATGGGCAGACATATATCCCCATTTCCCCATGACATTTTGGGGAACATTTATACCAAGTCTATTGTTCCTAATACCATGTTTCCAAGCAAAATGCATAAAGTAATTTAAGGCTTACAAATCTTATTATCTATTGCAAGCTTTTTAATAACCCTTTTATGTCTTCTAGTATCCCCAAAATCTTTAGCATTACACTGCACTTCATTGTGCTAAGAGACAGCACTTGGGAGGTTACTGTGGGAACACTCAAGAGGCAGATTACATGGGGCGATAACAAGAAAACTCAACGGATCGTCTCATTTTTGTCTACCTCAACACAAAAGCCAATAGACACAACAAAATGCTCCTGCCATGTTGACTCTACCACTGGTGAAGGACATTCTCCTTATGCTGATAAAGGAATTAAGAAGAAAGTTTGAATAGATGCCAACATATCTCAGATAAAGTCATGCCAACACTTGCTTCCTTCACCAAAAATACTTACAATCTGCCGCTTGGAGATTCATGGTTCGTGCACAAAGCGTGACAAAGAACCACCGTCTTTTCTGATTACTTTACCAGCATGTACAAACTTCTTTTACAGGACTGGCGTGCTGCCAAGATCTTCTAATCACATTCTGTTCTTGGTAAAAAAAAAAAAGTTCAAGAGGATTTAACTCAGCTGTCCTGACTGGAAATATCTCATCCTACAAGTCTTACACTCTCACGCTGAGTGTTTAAGTTTCCCATCACTTGTCAGCCAATAAAACATCCATCTCCTTTCATGAATTCTTTTTCAGCTTCAGCACAGTACAGACATTTACTCCTCTATATTATTCATTTTAAAGCAGACTTCAGTTTATTTCAGCTATTTTCCAAACTATATAGTTTTTCCTGTTGTTATGTCTGCAGCTTTTGTGCAAAGCTAATTATT